CACACACACACACGCTTTCCCCCTCCCCCCTCAGTTTCAGATGGTAATACAACTATATTAATATAAAAAATTAAATTTTAAATTTTTTAAATTTGTTTTATTGCAAAGTGAATACATCAATGCAAAACCACACATAAAGAATAATATATAGAAAGAAAAAGTAGAGAAGAACAAGGGGGGAAAATGCAAAGAAAAATAGACAGTAAAAGAATAAAGAAAAGTATAATATTTCAAGACGATAAACACTATTTTACAAAATAATAGGAATAATAGACTTCCATCACTCTCACAACACTTCCTTTCACATTTCACATTTTATCTGTATTTCAGTATTATTTTCATCTTCATATATAGATATGTATATATGTATGTTTCTCCTTTTCCATTCACGAGGTCATTCTAGACACAGCCAAATTTTTACATTAGAACCTTGTCTTTCTAAATAATCATTCAAGCAATTCCATTCCTTCTTGACTGTATTCATTGGCTTTGGGCTTATTATATCTGTCAATCTGGCTAGTTCCAAATATTCACATAATTTATATAACCATTCCTCTTTGGTCGGTACCTGGTTACTTAGCCACCAGTACGTAGCCACCAGGATTCTTGCCGCTGATGTCGCGTACAGAAAGAATTTAGTATTTTCTTTTGGAATATCACTATTCAATGTTCCCAAAAGATATGTTTCTGGTCTTTTGCTATGTGAAATTCTTAGTAACTTTTTTATTTCTTCATGGATCATGTCCCAGAACTTTCTGATCTCTGGACATGTCCACCACATATGGTAGAAGGTTCCACTGCTTTCTGCATCTTCAACACTTACTACTAAGCGATTTGTTCATTTTAGCCAATCTCTCCGGTGATAAATATATAAATAAATTTAAAAACACATATATAGTTGCAGATTTTGCCATTTGAAATTTTAAAAGTTTTTGTTATATAAAATAATAATATTATTCTTTGAAAATTGTTGTGACTCTCACTTCTCGATCCAGCCCTACAGAGAGCAGGAAGTCCTCTATTCATTTCAATTAATAATGCGTAACTGAGAATTTTTAAATATTCACACATGGCTGTCTTTCCTTCTCTTGTAGAAGGATAGTGTCTACTCCAGGCATAGGCAAACTCAGCCTTCCAGATGTTTTGGAACTACAATTCCCATCATCCTTAGCTAACAGGACGAGTGGTCAGGGATTATGGGAATTGCAGTCTCAAAACATCTGGAGGGCTGAGTTTGCCTATGCCTGGTCTACTCACAGGTACAGGAAAACTGCATATATGCATCTGTAGTAAATCAGAGTGATGTGTTGGAGAATCCTTCACCAATGTCTGTCACAACCCCCTTCTAGAGCAGTCTCCGTGTACTGCCTGTGGGTGTCCTTGAGAAAAACACCTGCATGCCCTCTTAACTTATAAGAGGGGAGGTGCTGGCATCTGCCATACTCCCTTTGCAACAGTCCGTTCCCAAGACACGAGGCACGGATGCAGGAACCCCACATGTCACAAAGAGCCCAGAGGTCTCTCAACGTGTGCCGAGCAGGCTAAGCACAACCCACACCCTGTCCTGTCCATACGGAGAATTCACATGAGGGAGAATTCTCACTTCTCACTTCCCAGTGGGCTTTCTGGAGATAGCCAGGAGCAGTTTGATTCTCTCCATCTGCTTCCAGCCTCCCCCCAATCCATGCAGTGAGGTGTCATAAGCAGAACATATGCATATTGAATATTGCAATGTGTAAATATCAAATGTGCTGGAGAGTCCCATGGACTGCAAGAAGATCAAACCTATCCATTCTTAAGGAAATCAGCCCTGAGTGCTCACTGGAAGGACAGATCCTGAAGCTGAGGCTCCAATACTTTGGCCACCTCATGAGAAGAGAAGACTCCCTGGAAAAGACCCTGATGTTTGGAAAGATGGAGGGCACAAGGAGAAGGGGACGACAGAGGATGAGATGGTTGGACAGTGTTCTCGAAGCTACCAGCATGAGTTTGACCAAACTGCGGGAGGCAGTGGAAGACAGGAGTGCCTGGCGTGCTCTGGTCCATGGGGTCATGAAGAGTTGGACACGACTAAACGACTAAACAACAACAACAACAAATATCAACTTTCTGCTAAAGAATCATATTCAACCCACCTTCCTTTAAAAAATGCCACGTAAAAAATTGGTGCATAGGAGTTCACAAATTTCAGAAGGAAAGCTTTCATAATTAAATGCTCCTCGAAGGTTTTTTCTGTTTTGGGTATCTCTGTCGTGAAGAAAGCAGAAAGACAGATGAATGGAAACAACTGGTAATTTATGTGACACACATTAAACCAATAAGCCATATTCTGTGATCAAAGGGGATGCTGATAAGTTTGCAAAATGTCATATTTACATCTGAAAGAAGGGTCAAGACCTGTTTGGGAGTACAGGGTTCTTAGCTTCCATGCTGTGCTCAGAGAGAGGGAAGGAAGTTAAACAATACACTTTCTCTCTGACTTGGGTTTCATCCTCAGCTTTCAGGTACAGTGGTACCTCGCAAGATGAATGCCTCGCAAGACGAAAAACTCGCAAGACGAAAGAGTTTTTCGTTTTTTGAGTTGCTTCGCAAGACGAATTTCCCTATGGGCTTGCTTCGCAAGACGAAAAACGAAAACATCTTGCGAGTTTGTTTTCTTTTTCTTAAAACCGTTAATACCCAGGGTGACTTCGAGGAGCAACTCATAGCATGCAGTGCGGTAGCCTTTTTTGAGGTTTTTGAAGACTTTGGTGATTTTGAAGACTTTGGGAAATCGTGCTTCGCAAGATGAAAAATTCGCAAGACGAAAACTCGCAGAATGAATTAATTTCGTCTTGCGAGGCACCACTGTACTGAGTCAAACATGGGTAGCCAACACCCACATTTTGTTTCTGTCCTACTGATGCTTACTTCATATTTCCTCTCCAGATGATAATAGTAGTAGTAGTAATAATAATTTCATTATTTATATGCCGCCCATCTGACTTAGTTGCCCAAGCCACTCTGGACAGCTTCCAGCAAAATATAAAAACACAACAAACATCACACATCAAAAACTTCCCTATACAGGGCTGTCTTCTGATCTCTTCTAAAAGTTGTGGTTATTTATTTCTTTGACATTTGATAGGAGGGCGTTCCACAGGGCGGGCACCACTACCAAGAAGGCCCTCTGCCTCATCTCCTGTAACTTCATTTCTCCCAGTGAGGGAACCCCCAGAAGGCCCTCGGAGCTGGACCTCAGTGTCCCAGCTCATGACTTGATTATTGCAAGACACTCTACGCAGAGCTGCACTTAAGGCTGTTGTGGAAGTTGCAGAATGTGCTGCGGTCTGGCTGTTGATTGGAGCTTCTTATTGACAGCATGTGACCCCACTGCTGAAGAATCTGCACTGGTTGCCAATATGTCACAGGCCAGATTTCAGGTGTGACTGTTACACTTGGGACAAGCCTTTCTTCATACATTCCTGTGCATTCTTTGATATCTGCTGGAGAAGCACTGATTACTCTTCCTTATGGCATCCACAAGGAATTGGGCCTTTAGTCTAGCAGCACCTACAATGCGGAATTCATTGCCTTCGTATATTAGGCAGACATCCTGTGTCTAGTTTTAGACGGCAGCCCCAAAACAATTTTATTTACACAAGCTTACCCCGTCTTTCAACTCTGTGTCATGTTTTTCTGATATTTGCCTGTTGTGTTTTGATTTTATGCACACTGTTTTGACACCCTCCTTGCTTGATTTAGCAATATAAAAAATTACATGGAAGTAAATATGTGAAGGGACGCGGGTGGTGCTGTGGGTTAAACCACAGAGCCTAGGACTTGCCGATCAGAAGGTTGGCAGTTCGAATCCCCGTGACGGGGTGAGCTCCCGTTGCTCTGTCCCAGCTCCTGCCAACCTAGCAGTCAGAGTGCAAGTAGATGAATAGGTACCGGCAGGAAGGTAAACGGAATTTCCGTGCGCTGCTCTGGTTCGCCAGAAGCGGCTTAGTCATGCTGGCCACATGACCCGGAAGCTGTACGCCGGCTCCCTCGGCCAATAAAGCGAGATGAGCGCCGCAACCCCAGAGTCGGTCACGACTGGACCTAATGGTCAGGGGTCCCTTTACCTAAATATGTGGCAGGCTCTTCCATGAGGCCAGAGACCATGTCTCAGTTGCCTTGCAATGGTGCTGGGGTTTCCCCACAGCCTTGGGCTTGCTTTTGCACAACTTCCAAGATTCAGATTCAGCAAGCAGTGGAAGAATGAAGGAATGCAAAAAGTCAGGGAGTGGGCAGTAGTCATTAGCAATTAGCCATGAGATGGATAGGAAATTGTGTCAAAGCCTTATCACTTGTCTATTGGCAGTCTCCCTTCTGTGGATCTTCTGAATGGAAGTGGAACAAATCACAAAAGTGTGATACATTAACTAACTGTGTGAATCTGCCCTTGGCAGACAGGTGCTTGCAACTGTTTATATCTAGAACTCTTTTCTGAATTCTAGTCAATAAGGGTGCTTCTAGGTTGGTGGCTAATAACTGTTCTTTTGTAGTTAAAGGTAAAGGTAAAGGGACCCCTGACCATTAGGTCCAGTCGTGACCGACTCTGGGGTTGCGGAGCTCATCTTGCTTTATTGGCCGAGGGAGCTGGTGTACAGCTTCCGGGTCATGTGGCCAGCATGACTAAGCCACTTCTGGAGAACCAGAGCAGCGCACGGAAACGCTGTTTACCTTCCTGCCGGAGTGGTACCTATTTATCTACTTGCACTTTGATATGCTTTTGAACTGCTAGGTTGGCATGAGCAGGGACCGAGCAACGGGAGCTCACCCCGTTGTGGGGATTCGAACCGCCGACCTTCTGATCGGCAAGTCCTAGGCTCTGTGGTTTAACCCACAGCGCCACCCGCGTCCCTCCTTTTGTAGTTACCGTAACTGGAAGCAAATTGTAACTGACTTGCTACATTATCCGGGATGTTGCACTCAGCTATGATCCTTCTATGTCCCTGCCCCTTCTTCTTCTTTAGTCAATAACTGAATAATTGAACCACCAACCTTCTGGTTAAAAGCCAGATGCACTAACCCATTGTGCCACATTACTGATACTATTGTTGAGGAATCCCTTATAAGCTTCTGGGGAATTTCAGCATTTTGCAAAATATAGTACAGTATAAAACTCCTGCTCTAGATTGAAGGAGGTTTGAATATTATAGAATGAATGAAAAGTCCTACTTTGTGGGACAAAAACAGCTACTGTACATTATTGGCAAGAAGCAGAACATATGCACTTATGAAGGGTGAAAAAGCATTACCCATTTCTGTCAACCACTTGGCAACCATTCCATAAATCTCATCTAGGATAAGTATCACAACAAGGTTAATGATGACAGCCGTTGCTGTCACCGTCACTCGGACGTTAGACTTGGTTGACTCATTGGGACTCATGGATAGTGCTGCCGCTGTAGTTATCCGGTACACAATCACACCGAAGACCAATGAAAACGTCAGTGAAATCTGAAAAGAGGCACACAGGTATTCATAGAAATGCATACATTCATGCATTTTTGCGCATACAGTAAATCTACAGTTAATGAGCGTGAGTGGCGTTAGAGAGCCCAAAGGCCCACATATTAAGCAGCTTCCTCTTTGAAAGGAAATGCTCTGCACATGGCTGGCCAATGGGTTTTCTCCATTGACCTTTTAGGTTTGGATTAAACAGTACTGGTGCGGGGCTGTCCCTGCTTATGCCACCACAGCATCATCCAGTTTGCTGATCTCAATTCTGAACTACATGGGCATAGGAGCACCACTAATTCTAGGATATTCAGTCCTGGCTAGAACTACCAAGCCTCAATTTTTCATGTGCCCCTAGAACACATGAAGAAATGTGGCTGCTTATCCTGTTGAGGGCATGGTGTCCTTCAAGGACTCTTTTGGTGACCCACACGCTAGGGTCTTCTGGTGAGTCTGCGTATCCATGATTGACGGTCTATGACTTTGCTCAGAGAACTATTATTCTCCTTGTTGGATCTGTAAAGGATGACTGCTATTAGCATCTTTAAAGGTAAAGTGACCCCTGACCATTAGGTCCAGTCGCGGATTACTCTGGGTTTGCGGTGCTCATCTCGCTTTATTGGCCAAGGGAGCCGGCGTACAGCTTCCAGGTCATGTGGCCAGCATGACTAAGCCGCTTCTGGTGAACCAGAGCAGCGCATGGAAACGCCATTGACCTTCCCGCCAGAGTGGTACCTATTTATCTACTTGCACTTGACGTGCTTTTGAACTGCTAGGTGGGCAGGAGCAGGGACCGAGCAATGGGAACTCACCCCGTAGTGGGGATTTGAACTGCCAACCTTCTGATTGCCAATCAGAAGCTGACTCTTACTCCAACACTGGCAAGGGAACATCATCTTCGACTGCACTGGAAGGCAACAGGCTAGTTGACTGACACAGACCAGCCACATGCCACTCTGCCTGGCACCTCCTTGGCACCTGCTCAACTGCTGCAATGCAACACTTGTGGCACCAGTGCACAGGACATGAGTAAAGCAACACATGTATATGTGCAATATCTGCTGGAGTTTGTGGCCTGGACTGTCTCTCTCTCTGCCTGGTAGCTCAGTTAGGGTCTTTCCCAGTGATGCTTTTTGTGATGCATTGGGAGAAGGTGACTAGATAAGACAAGCAGGCAGTCCAGGGAGCAAAAAGCAAGTATTGTCAGTGCCTGGGTAGCAGCTCAGGAAGATGGTTATTGGGGAGTGGCTCAGGCAAAGAGCAAGAACAATGTCACCACTGTGCTCCAACATCCACGGTCTGAGATGTTCTGGGAGGGGCAGCCATGATCTGGCAAAGGAGCTGGTAAGTGAACCAACCCTGCACCAAGCACTGAATCTGGACTTTGTGGTGCAATTGACGTTTTAAACTTTTGCAATTCTTAGTCCATCACCAATTCAGTCTAAAAGAAGGATACACTGAGGGAAAACAGCAAAGGTAATGCATATGTTAGAGAATATTGATTCAGTCTGAAGATCCATGCAGTCAGGGCAAATTTAATATAGGCCACTGTTAAAAAAGCAAGGAAATAAAATGCAAAATTACCATAAATAAGATAGATGCAAAGTTCACTAGATAGCCAGGGGTACGGTCTTTCCAGGTCAGTTTTTCCTTCTCATCCTAGTACAAGCCATAATAGGGAAAACATCAGTTATGATACTAAGTAAATAAATAAGGTGAAAAGTTAAGCGCAATTTGGAATCAGTGTGATGAAATACAGTGCAATTCAGAAGTCCCATTGGGTGTTATTCAACTAAGTTTTAAATACCTTAATCAAGTTTCTTAATTTCAATGGGTTTACTCTGAGTAAAACTTAGTTCACTATCACTGATGGATTCCAGTAGATCTTAGTCCCTAATAAGTGTGTAAATGATTTCTGCCTTAGTTGTTACTATGCCCTTTTCCTTGCCTTCAATTAGATTTTATCTGTTACTCTGGGTTTTTCTTAGTTTTTTTGTTTTCCCACTCTTAAATTCAGTCCTTCACATCTCCACACCATTTTTGTGATTTTTAAAAGTGCGCGTGAAAATTTATCAGTGTCCCAGTGTGTCATTGCGATATTTGGAGAAGTGCACATTCCGGTGCTCTCATTCCCGTATTGTTTTGGGAAGTGCAAATTGGGTAGATTCATACATTATAATGCAAACTGAACCAAATTTCTTGTTCATCCCAAATTCTATCCAATATGTGAAGACACATTACTCTCATACGATCTATAATTGAAAAAGCAGACTGAATTTTTACTGTAGACATTTCTTCCCTAGGGTCCCCTCCCCTCAATTTTTTAAATTAGAAATTAAGAACTACTATTTGTCTTATTTCATTGTTTTCTCTGGCTTACTCATCCTGTCAGCGAGCAAATCTATTATGGTCTACCTTCTACACATTATATCATTAACACGCCTTTCATGTCATGTAGCAGGATCAGTACAGTGGTGCCTCGCAAGACGAAATTAATCCGTTCCGCGAGTCTCTTCGTCTTGCGGTTTTTTCGTCTTGCGAAGCACGGCTATTAGCGGCTTAGCGGCTATTAACGGCTTAGCGGCTTAGCGGCTATTAGCGGCTTAGCGGCTATTAATGGCTTAGCGGCTTAGCGGCTTTAAGAAAAAGGAAACAAACTCGCAAGAACTCGCAAGACGTTTCGTCTCGCGAAGCAAGCCCATAGGGAAATTCGTCTTGCGGAACGACTCAAAAAACGCAAAACCCTTTCGTCTAGCGAGTTTTTCGTCTTGCGAGGCATTCGTCTTGCGGGGCACCACTGTAAATAAAGTTGCCCTTGTGACCAACAAAATATGTCCCTCCAATTCCCACACCACACAAAGAAACACACATATTCACAGCTGCTTATGTTATTTTCCTAAATATGGCTATGCCATGACTTCTGAAACAGAAGAGTAGCTGTTACATCTAAGTCAGGGGTGGCCAACTCCCAAGAGACTGTGATCTACTCACAGAGTTAAAAACTGGCAGTGCTCGGCCCCCTTTTTGGGGGTTCAGGTCAAAGTTGTTGTTGATCTTTTTTTAGGGGACCCAAACTTGTTGAGCTTCAGTGGGGGGAGCCAGTGATCTACCAGTAATCTAAGAAAGATGTCCAGTGATCTACCGGTAGATCACAATCTACCTGTTGGACAGGCCTGATCTAAGTCATGTGGCTGGCTGAATCGAAGACTTTTTCCACCAAAAGGGTGCACCTATTTCTTAAGAACACATCTGCTTTTGCAAATCCCAATCTCTCCCTGCCCCCCCCAAAAAAAACCATCAGCAGAAGCGGCCAAAGAATAGCTACAGGTATTCATTTTTATAATGCAACTATGGTCAGAAGGGGACACTGGTGGCGCTGTGGGTTAAACCACTGAGCCTAGGACTTGTCGATCAGAAGGTCGGTGGTTCGAATCCCCGTGACAGGGTGAGCTCCCATTGCTCGGTCCCTGCTCCTGCCAACCTAGCAGTTCAAAAGCACGTCAAAGTGCAAGTAAAGTAGGTAAAGTAGATAAAAGTAGATAAATAGGTACCACTCTGGTGGGAAGGTAAACGGCGTTTCCGTGCGCTGCTCTGGTTCGCCAGAAGTGGCTTAGTCATGCTGGCCACATGACTCGGAAGCTGTACGCCAGCTCCCTCGGCCAATAAAGCGTCGCAACCCCAGAGTTGGTCACGACTGGACTTAATGGTCAGGGGTCCCTTTACCTTTACGGTCAGAAGACAAACTAAGGGGACCTGCGTTATCACCCTCTGGAAATCTTGTATGTGTCATGATGACTCCGGAATGCTTGCATATAAGAAAACTGGATGAGGACAAAACTCAGCTGCTATGATTCTTCCTCTCCCGACCTCCCCTCCACCTTATTTTGAGGGGGGTGGGAAGCGTGTGGATGCAAGGCCTATGTACATATGAATGTATGAATAGTACAGAAAGTCGAAGAAGCACTGAATGCATAAAGATGTCTTGGAAAAAGTTAGGCCACTGATTCAGCTGGGCCAGTGATGCTTATACCATCTGGCAGTGGCTCAGGAAAACGCCCTTCCTAGCTCTGGCGACTTAAGTTTCCTTCTTTGTGATTTGGGCTGTTCATTTTAACACAAGCTTTGTAGATATAACACAGCCTTCTATATAGAAATTTCAAGCTACAATCCTAAATTTCCAGACCTACCCAGGAAAAAGTTACACTGAACTCAGTGAGTCCAATATATGATTGAACTGCTGACTGTTTTTTACACCATTTTTTAAAATAGTTTTAAAATCCCAAGAAAACAGATGTCTTAAAGAGAATATACAAGGGATTGACTCAGAAACTTTATGTTCCCTGCCACTTCCCATATTGCAAAATATTCACTGTAGAATGGCTGCTATTGAGCATTGCTCTGGCTACTGGAACTCCAGAGGTTTTATATGAGAAATCATGTGCCATTGTAACAACATTTAATTTTCTTTTTAACTGATTGTTTAACAAAGCCACAACTGATTCATTTTAACTTATCTACTTCTTATATTTAAGCAAGCAAGCCAACCAAACACAATTACTTAAAGTTGACTGAAACTAAGAGGATATA